AGGCGCACAGGCTTCAGTAGTTGTGGCTTGCGGGCTCAGTAGTTGTGGCTCATGGGCTTCATTGCTCCACAGCATGTGGGATCTTCCTGGACCAGGGATCGAATCCGTGTGCCCTGCCTTGGCAGGTGGATTCTTAACCACTGCGCCATCAGCGAAGCCCCTGTAGTAGTATCTTATTGTGATTTTAATTCACATTTTCCTAATGACATTGATGTTAAGCACATTTTCACATGTGTGTTCACCATTTGTATGTTCTTTTTGGTGAAATGACTTTTCAGTTCTTTTGCACGTTTTTAAATTGGCTTGTTTTCTTACTAATTTATAAAAGTTCATTATATATTCTGATCCTGAATATATATTCTGAATTATATGTTCAAGTCCTTCATCAGATACACACTTTGGAAATATTTTCTGCCAGTCTCTGGCTTATCATTTACTTAGTTGTGTTTTCCTTAATGGGCTGAAGTTTTTGTTTTTAATAAAATACAATTTATCTGTTTTTTTTTCTTCTGTATCTTGTGCTTTTGTTATCATGTCTAAGAATACTTTTCTAACCCAAGGCACAAAGACTTTCCCCTATATATTTTTTCAGAAGTTTTCGTTCTTCTATTAAGTCTAGGAGCTGTTTTGAGTTAATCTTTGTATGTGGTGTTAAGTAAGGATCTAAGTTCATTGCTTTGCATGGGGATATGTAGTTGTACCAGCACCAGTTGTTGAAAAGACTGTTCTTACCACATTGAAACTTCTGGACACCTTAGCTGAAAACCAGTTGACCACAAATATAGGGGCATACTTCTGGACTTTCAGTTCTCTTTCACTGATCTATATGCCTATTCATATGCTGGACTGTCTCAATTACTAGAGCTTTATAGTAAGTTCTGAAATCGGGTAATCCAAGTCCTCCAACCATTTGCTTCTTTTTCAGAATTATTTTGGCTATTCTAGATCTTTTGCAGATCTTAATATTAAATTTTAGGGGCAGCATATCATCTTAACAACATTAAGTCTTCTAATCCATGAACATTTATTTATTTAGATGTTTTCATTTAGATCTTTATTTATTTAGAGTTAAAAAAATTTCAGCAATGAGTTGTAGTTTTCAGGGTACAAATCTTATGCTTCTTCCATTAAATTTATTCTTAAATATTTTATTCTTTTTTGATGCTGTTGTAAATGGAGTTGTGTTCTTAATTTAACTTTTGGATTGTTCATTCCTAGTGTATAGAAATAGAGTTGTTTTTTATATATTGACCTTGTATCCTATGACCTTGCTAAACATATTTATTCGTTTTGGTAGCTTTTTTTTTCCCCTAGATTCATTAGTGTTTTCTACTCAGTTAATTATTAATTACAAATAAAAACAGTATTACTTTTTCCTTTTTAATCTTTATTCAGTTTTTCTTGCCTTCTTGCACTGGCTTGGACCAGTACAATGCTTAATATAAGAAGCAGGAGCTAACATCCTTGTTTCCAGCGTTGGGGAAAAAGCATTTATTCCTTCACCATTTAAGTATAATGTTCACCATAGGTTTTTTAGGTCTAGGAAGTTTACTTCTTTTCCTAATTTGTTGAGAGTTTTTATTATGAATAGGTATTTGATTTTGTCAAATGCTTTTTCTGCATCTATTGAGATGATCAGGTTTTTTTCTGTTAATATAATATATTACATTGGGTTTTGGATGTTAAACTAGTCTTGAATTCCTGTGATAAATTCTACTTGATCATGGTTTATAATCCTCTTACTATGTTACCAAATATGGTTTACTAATATTTTGTTAAAGATTTTTGTGTCTGTGATCATGAGGGTTCTGTAGTTTTCTTTTCATGTGGTATCTTTGGCTTTTATATCAGAGTAATACTAGCCTCACAAAATGAGTTGGAAGTGTTTCTGCTCTTTTTCTGAAAGAGTTGTGAAGGATTAGTATTAATTCTTCTTTTAAATATTTGATAGCATTCACCAGTGAAACTGTCTGGGCTTGGACTTCTCAGTGTGGGAAGATTTTTATTTAAATTTTTCTATCTATTATAATTCTGTCTAGATTTTGTGTTTCTTCTTGAGTAGGTTTGGTATTTTTTGTCTTCCTGGGACTGTTTTTATTTCCTTTAAGTTGTCTGATTTATTGGCATAAATTTGTTCATAATATTCCCTTATAATTTTTAATATCTGTGGGATTCATAGCATTTTCCCCTCTTTTATTTTTTATTTTGGTAGCTTATATCTTCTCTTAATTTCTTACCCTTGTATTTTTTTAAGAATGTGGTTAAAATTTAATTTTTTTCCAGCTTTATTGAGGTATAATTGACAAATAAATGGTAATATATTTAAAGTGTACAACATAATGATTTGATACATATACATTGTGAAAGGATTCCAACATTTAAGTTAGTTAACACATCTATCACCTCACATGGTTACTTTTTTTGGGTGTGTGAAAAAGCTTAACCTGCATATTAAGAAAAGAAAAAAAGCTTAAGGTTACACTCTTCAGTAAGGTAGAACCTTAGGTAATTCATGTGAGACTTATCTTCTGGTAAAGGTATTTTAACTTCCCTCTAAGCACTGCTTTAACTGCATCTTTTCATTTTTAATATGTTGTATTTTCATTTCGTTCAGTTAAAAATATTAAAAAAAAATTTTTCTTGCTATTTCTTCATTGACTCGGGTTATTTAGGAGTGCGTTTTTTGATTTCCAAATATTTGAGGTTTTCCCAGATTTCTTTGGATTCATATATTTTGGGGCTCTTTTGTTAGATGTATATGCATTTATAATTGGTATATTCAAAGAAGAAATACATAAATAAATGATAACGGTTGGAGATTTCAATATCCTACTCTCAAAAACTGATAAAACAATTAGAAAGAGTATAGAGGACTTAAGCAATCCTGTCAGTCAACTTGACCTAGCTGACATCATAGACTCTCCACCCAGCAACTACAGATAACAGATTCTTTCCAAACACATACATATGGAACAATTGCCAGGATAGACTATATGCTGGGACACAAAACAAGTTTCAGTACCTTTTAAAAGGCTGAAACCATACAAAGTATGTCTCCAACCACAACAGAATTACACATAGAGTGGCATGGACATACATACACTACCAAATGTAAAATAGATAGCTAGTGGGAAGCAGCCACACAGCACAGGGAGATCAGTTTGGTGCTTTGTGACCACCTAGAGGGGTGGGATAGGGAAGGTGGGAGGGAGACGCAAGAGGGAGGAGATATGGGTATATATGTGTATGTATAGCTGATTCACTTTGTTATACAGCAGAAACTAACACACCATTGTAAAGCAATTATACTCCAATAAAGATGTTAAAAAAAAAAAAAGATATCCACACCAGGTCCATTCTTTGTCTGGAGCTTGCTTTCCCTTGCTATGAAAGTGGTAAATCCCACAAGCTCAGGATTTTTCTCCTGTAACACCTACTGCACATGCAGGCATTCATCCTGGGCCCTTTGCATTGCCTTCACGAGACTTGGGGGCAAGGGGAATTGACAAGAAGAAGAGTCCCTGACTGCTCCCATAACCCTGAGTGGCACAACAAGGACTAAAAACTTCTATTGGCTAAATCTAGAGGCCTCTTAAGCTAAAAACCATGGCTGGTTTTAACACTCCACCACTTCCTATTCCTAGGAAGGGTGATTTAGCCTTTTTTAAATGTCAGTCTCCATATATAATATAGAGATACAATGATAGTACCTATTTCACAGAGTTGTAAGGATTGAATGAGTCCATGTAAAGAGTGAGAGTGCCATGTAGAAAGTACTCAATAAATGGTGGCTGTCTAGAGACTTTATGTTGGTCTTCCTCTGCCTTTCCCTTGGAGAATCTATTCTCTGGCATATTTATTTAGACTGCCTCACTTTAAAAGATTCTTCTGTAATTCACAGACATTTTCAGGAGGTTGTTGTCCTACCATTTCATTGAAGACGAGGTCCAGAATTGTCATGCTTTCCTCTCTGCCTCTCTTCTAATTACCCCATTAAGGTTATGACAAAATTCTAATGAATTCCGTCAGTTGAAAATTGTGAGATTAAACGTATACTCCAAGGTGAAGGAGATTTTAGGTTAATATTAGGAATGGACTTCTAAAGTCAGAAGTGTCCAACAACAGAATGGGCCGACTCCGGGCATACAGACAGAGGCTTTCGACTTGCAGAGCTCTGATTTGCCACTGCTTCATCTGTCACATCAAGTCCCTGGGGTCTGCAAGCTGTTGTAATCTATTACACTGCAGTGAGGACTGTACCAAACAGATATGCTACCTAAGTATTATATTTGTGTGACTTTGGAATTTGTGATGCACGATTTTATACTGTTGTAGTCAAATGAATTGATGAGAGGAAATGAACTATAACTTAGTGAATTGAGAAAGGTTATCAGACTTCCCTGGGTATTGCCAAATACAGAGAGCAAACTTTAATGTTAGACTCCAGTTGAAGATCTGGCTCTTGAATCTCCTGCAGAGCTAAAGGCACACACAGCTCTGCAGTGAGGTCATGATAGTCTGGGGCCTATGTTGAGTGTAATTAGGCCCATCCATACTACACACATTATTCCATATTTTGATAAAGTGGGGAAAAATATTGAGGTTTTATCATATATACGACGTTTATGTGCAAAGTTCAACAGATGTTGCATGCTGCTTTCAGAATTAAAGAAAATTACTTGGGCACTGATGTGTCCTTCCGTGAAATGTTTTATTCTTAGCTGTCACACTCCCTGTCCCTTGCCGACAACCATTATAGTGACCAGAAAGTCTGCTTGCTCTGCAGTGATGTGTCTTGACTAGTGCCCATTAGTTTTCAGTAGTTACCCCTGGCCTGCATGTTAGCCTTCAGTTTAATGGCCTTTTTTATGTTCATTCATTTTATTTTATTTCCCATCGTGGTTTTGTTTATTTCTTTTTTGTTTTTTGTTTTTTCTGTTCTCTTTTTTAAAACCGTCGTGGTTTGCCCTTCATATTCCCCAATATTTGCACATGACAAGATGTTGCCATCCCAACATTACCTCCCACTTCACTGACCAGTGCCACTACTGACCATCTAGCACCAGCCACAACTGGACCACTGCCTTCAGCTCCTCGGGATGTCGTGGCCTCCTTGGTCTCTACCCGCTTCATCAAATTGACATGGCGGACACCTGCATCAGATCCTCATGGGGACAACCTTACCTACTCTGTCTTCTACACCAAGGAGGGGATTGCTAGGTAAGTGCCTGTACGTCTGGAGCCGGTTGGTTGCATCTTGTCCACCCAAGACCAGCCGTCCCCACCCTGACTCTTTACTGTGTAGAATCTGTACCAACTTTCAGTCCAGAAAATATGATCACCAAGATGACCTAGTTTTAGGTCATTAAAAGTAAATTCCTAAACAGAGTGAAGTCCTGGTATTCTTTCCTGCCTCTCTGGGATGACTTGGGGAGAGAGTTATTTAAGTTAGAAGTATTAAAATGTAACCAGGGCTACCGTTTTTTCATAAGAGTCAGTCAAGCACAACCCATAGGCTATGTCTTTCTTAGAACTTTCAGATTCTAGAAATTAAGGTAGTTATTAAAGTAATCTTAATGAATATCTGTCTGCACCCGTACATGGATGTGGGCTGCTGAGCTCTGGGGTGGGGTGGGGGGGGTCTCCTTGATGACACAACAGTATTTAGTGACTCATTTTCCTAAAACAGCATTTCTTTAAATTTCTCTCCATCTCCACCTCTTTCAGGAACTCACGTTGCCTCTCCATTGCTTTTGGAGATTCTCCAGAATCACCAGACTGCTTTACTCCACAGTCTACCTTTGTTTTATCTATCCAGGCTTATTTTCCTTTAACCCCAGTTTAGCTCACTTTCTAATGAAACCAGTCTAATTCCTGTCACTATGCAGCCTTTTTTCCCAGTCTGTTCTCTTCAGTAACTTCCCCGTTGAAAAAGGGTTTTTCAACTAAAACTAAAATTCAGTTAATCTTTCTTGGCCCAGACTAAGCCCCATGAAGCCCTCATAAATCTTTCTCTACCTTTTTCATCACATGCAGCTTTTCTCTTGTATGTATGTCTGTGCCACTGATATTGGCACTTAATTATGATAACACATGATCTAATACTACCATAGTTGTTACTCTTCTGTTATTTTATGTGTATTTGTGTTGTCTTCCCAACCAGGTTATAAACTCTTTGGAAGGTACCATGCCACATGCTGACTGTGTACTCTGAATATTGCTGAGTAGATTCCTTCATTGTGCTGTTACTTCACACCAAAATAAGAAAACTAAAATAATCTGTTTTGGTTACGGCCCTAACCCATGAAATAAAGCTTGTATTTCTACAAGGGTGCTTACATTTGATATATATTGTATTAAATACCAGACTGGCAAGTTCAGCAAGTATAGGCACCTTCGTCAAGTCAGTACCCCTTGGTTTAAGACTCTTTAGACATCTGAGTGACATAATTTCAGTCAGATAGGTGGAGCTGCTCCCAGGGTAATAGAATGTTCATCCGAACACTGCACTGAATGTTTGGGGAGTTACAAAGATAAGAAACATAGAGCTAGTCCCAGAAAGGCAAGATATTACTACCAAACAGAACCTGTCTTAAAATGTTTCCAGTAGGCTTTTAGATCGCATTGCAAACGTCATGGGATTTCACAGAAGGAAAAAAGCTTTTAGTAATTCCTCAGAAGCAAGCTTATGTGCATCACAGGGCCTTTGCTCTTGTTGTTCCTTCTACCAGAACTGCATTTCCCTCACAAATAACTGTCTGGCTTCTTGTCCATCATCCTCAGATGATCCCTACTCAGGTCTTCCATGACTACCCACCCAGCTTAACCCCTTGGTCACTGTCGCACAGCCGGGCACTTGGTGGCTTGTTCCCAAGCCAGTTGTTAAATTTTCAGGAAATTTTGCAAACCCGATGACATGGCTCAGTAGCTCAAAATTGGGCATAGAGGGAGTGTTTACAGTGAGAAGTGCTACAAACCAGAGCCAGTTGTTAAACATTTACCAGAACATCACTGTAACATACCACCGTATTTTGTTTTTTAGCTTTTGTGTTGTGTTTCTTCAGAACACTTAATACTCAGAAATTTTCTCTTCATATTAATGCATTCATGGTGTTTGTCTTGTTCAGTGGAGTATCACCATCACCTGGAACAGAGCCTGGCTTATAAGTAGCACTACAAGTATAAATAAATACTTGTTAAGTGAGTAATTCTAATGAATGGAGAAATAATAATTATTCAAGAAATAATGTTGAGATAGTTAACCTCCGTTTAATATAAGGAATAAAACTTGTATCTCTGTCTTATGTATAACAACAAGTTATAGATGTATCAAGACGTATTTTTAAAACTTCTAAGTGTATTAGAAGAAAATATAGAAACTGTTTTCATCACTTAATGTATCTTTTAAAGGAAGACAGAAAATTCAGGAACCATATAGGAGAGATTGACAGAGTTTATTATATAACTAAAATTCCATGTGATAAAACATAATAAAATCAAATTATCAACTGATAAGCTGGGAAAAAATTTAACATTTGTAGAAGATTGTATTGATACCCAGTCTATATAAAGAACTTCTACAAATCACAAGTAAAAGACATATCTCAAGAGGCAGATGGTATAAGTAGGTGCCTCAGAGAAGTTAGTGGAAAGCCCATTAAAGTTCAAAAAAAAAGTTTTCACAATTACTAACAATCTTGGAAATACAAAATGAGTTACCATTTTTCACCTGTAAGGCTGGCAGAAATTTTAAGTTGATAATATCCAGTGTTAAGTGAGCTGAATGTTGGGATTAAATCCAATCTAGGCTCTTGGTGGCAGTATAAGTTAGAGGAGCCTTTGGAGAAGGTGATTTGGCAGAATTAAAAAAAAATTTTTAATGCACATTTCTTTCAACCCAACAATTACACTTCTAGGTGTCTGTCCTATAGATATTCCAATATACATACACATAGGGCACTCATAAAAAATGTTTATTTTAGCATTATTTGTAAGGATTAAAAAAGGGAAAGTAAATGTCCACTGGTAGAGGAATGGGCATATAGTTAATATATGTATATCCATATGAAGTATGATGCAGGAATTTTTTAAATGACTTATATCTGTGTATTTTGATGTGTATATAAATGCCTAGGTCAGTGATTCTCAACCAGGGACAGTTTTGCCCCCCATCTCCCAGTGGGCATTTGGCAATGTCTGCTGACATTTTTGGTTATTGCAGCTGAGATGGGAGGGGATGCTTACTGCTGTCTAGTGAGTAGAAGCCAGAGATGCTGATAAACATCCTACAATGTACAGGACAGCTCCCCGCCACCCACCAAAACAAAGAATTATCCTGCCCAAAATGTCAAGATACAGGTCTACATGCCACCTTTAGGTCTCAGGGTGGAACAGGTTTTAAGGAGGGAGAAAAACTAGGACTTTTAATTATATATACTTTTGTTTTTAATGGGAATCTATCACTTATTAGTGAATCGTGTTGAAATAAGCAGGGATGATTAATAAATGAAGTTGGAATTGAAAAAATGAGGAAGATAAATTGGCACGGGCAGGAGGACAGGGCAAGTATATGTGAAGAAAGAGGAGATGCAAGGAAGATCCAATTTAATTTGTGTTGTTGGAAGGATGGGAAAGTAAGAAAGCTCTGGCCTAGAGTTTTTGGTCAGAATTAGTAAGAGATTACAATAAAGTGGAAGTTTGGAGCCAAGTGTTGGAATGCCAGTAAGAATTTTGACAGTCAGTTAAGAAGGGACCATTTTAGACTCCTGAGCAAGTGTACACTGTGGTTTTATTAAACAGCTTTTATTAGCAGTACTTGGAGGGCATAAGATTAGAGAGAAAAAGCAGTGGAGTCAGGGAGACAGATCAGTAGTAGTTAGGTTGATCTAGGCATGCGGTAGGCCCAGATGAAGATGACAGCAGTGACTTGGAACAGACAATAAATCTGGGGAATATTTCAAAGGAATATTCTTGGAGATTGTAATAATAATTTTTGTCGCTTCATTACTTTAAGATTATGATTTCTGAATAGAAGCAATGAAGGAATAGAAATAAAACTAAGTCAAAGACTAGATCCCTGTTGTTTTATAAACAAAGTTATTTAACCTTTATAAGTTAAATTTTCTCATCTAAAAAATGAAGGTCTTCATAGACATTATCTTCATAGACTTAAAACATTTCCATGTGAGGATATATGCCGCTGCCTGCATTACGAATTCCCCTACTTCCTGCGTTTGATAATTCAACCACCAGGTGGCATTATGTGCCTTGGTCATGAGCTATATAATTCTGCTGGGTACCTGAGTTTCCTGAAATTCCAAAGGGTTCTTCCTCTGCCATTTCACCTATGAAATGTTCACCTTTTTTTTTTTCAATGCCTTTCATGTAAACAGCAGTATTTTCTGTTAGCCACCAAATGGAAAGTACAGAGTAAGTTATTCCAGAAATTAATAGCATTTTAGAGTTGGACAAAGCCTTACGTATCTGTCAGTCTAGTCCGGGAGCTGGCAAACTATAGACCCTGGGCCAAATCAAACTTGTTATTTTTGTGGCCCAAGAGCTAAGAATAGTTTTTACATTTTCAAACGGTTACATTTTAATAGGTTATACAAGTAACTACAGTTCACCCTTGAACAACATGGGTTTGAACTGCACACATCCACTTATATGTGGATTTTTCTCAGTAAATCCATAGTACAGTACTACACAATCCACAATTGGTTGAATTCCCAGATTCAGAACTGTGGATAGGGAGTACCAACTAAAGTTATACTTGGATTTTTAACTGTGGAGATGGTTGGTAATATTTTTCATTTGGCATCTTGGCCTGTAGGTATTTACTATCAAGCCCTTTAAGAAAAAGTTCACCACCCTGGGCTCATTCTTTCATTTAATACATGAAGAAACCGAAGCCCAGAAAGAATTGGTGACTTTCCCACGATCCCCTAGCAAGCTAGTAGTGTTGCCAGAACTAGAATTGGAGCTCCTAACTTCTGGCCCAGCACTGTCTTAGTATAAAGTGTATCTTTTCCTTTCTCTTTTGACTCTTAGCTAAGACATTCTAACCTAAGACCCATTGTAACCTCACACATTTATGAGAATTGTCCTTCATAACTCACCCTGGATCTTTCCTGAAGTCAAAAGTTTGTTTCTAGACAGATACTTGGTTCTGGGACCTCAGACCAATCTACTGTTAGAAGCCTTTTCAGGTGCTAGATGTTTCATCTTAAGGAATCATACCTACTACTGATTTTTTCTTATTGTAATGCTTCTGTAGAAATTTGTTCTAGGTATTTTCCCCTTTTACATAGGAACAAACAAAAAGATAAACGTGATATCATTACTATATCATGTACACATCAAAAGGCAAATTTCCATTCATTCAGCACACATTTGCGATGCTACTTCTGTGTGTGAGCCTTCTGCTAGTGCTTCTGTGGTATGTAACATGAATGAACACTCTTTTACTTTGATTTCAAGTA